TAAAATTTACAAGTGTTTAATATTTAATTGATGTTAGCTGCTTACACCTCTTTAAACAATAGCTAGAATATAAATCAGAAGGAAATCTTCTGATTTGTTTTTTTTTGCAGCTGACTAATGGAAAAGGGAGGAGCATGCAAACCTGAAGCGAATCTAGGCTAATAACTGAAGTACAAATCATGGTTAATATGGAATCTGAACAAGCCCACTGCGGTATTGCTTACTGAATCAATACATTTCACAAATACAGTATGTGAGAAGAACCTCTGTGTTCTACATTGCTGCTGTAGGGGACTTTGTATTCCTCCATCCATTTTTTTTAATTGGGGTAATTATTACTAAACTAGAGTTCCACCTGGGCAGCTGGACCACAGCTGCTCTAATAAAAACAAGGTGCATGAAAAGTGCATGTCTTATCTTAAACAGAAGAAGATAGAGGTGCCAATAACAAAGGTGATATATCAGGCAAAATCCAAAGTATCCTGATATGCTTGCACAGACTAACACAGCTACATCTTCCAAAACTGATATAGAAGTAGATCATGTTACTTGTGTGTTAAGCAGATGCCTCTTACCTAGTTTGGACTAATCTGATCCTTGACCTTTGGTCAAAGAGCCTTGGAAGCTTTTAGGCTGAGATCTGCACAGTTCTTTGAAAGAAACTACATAAAACAAGAGCGTTCTGATGGCTGTGCTTCCAGCTCTGACCCTTGCACTACAAGGGAGGCTAATAAGAATTACCTTGTGGTTGCCAGCCTTTGCCAGTTCTCCTGTTGCAGCTGTGCATTAGAGTCCTTTTCCAGCTGCCTGACATTTTATCGTACTCTTTATCCCTTTGCTTCATGGGATGGGGAAAGGGTGCTGGTATCAGCTTGTTTGTGGCTTATGTTTATTGGCTTGAGTTATACGTCGACCTTCCCCACTTCCATCAAATCCAAGGGTGGGCAAAGTCTTCTTTCTTGCAACCCAAGGACCCATGTTCCATCACCTACTAGCAAAAAGTTGTTTGCCCATCCAGGAGGAGTTCCAGAGCCTGCTTGAGCCTGCTAGTGAGTTATTTCCTATTTTAAATTAAACAGAACCTTAAATGTGTATTCAAAACCCACTTCCAGTGCTTCCAAAATATGTCATTTCACTTTAAAACACTGTTCCCACCACTGTCACTGAGGGAAAAGACTGTTATCCCAATCCCTCTGGCTGGGGCACAGTCAAGTGTGTTGTTCTGCTATGTTAGGAGACTCCAAAACACTGTGTGATGAACACTCGTATTAATAAAGTAATGGGAACTACCGACCAGGCCTTAAATAATAAGGGGCTAATGTGTAGTGAATACAGAAACATTTGCTTTTTTTTTCCAGTGATGATGATCGGCCATCATTTTCTGCTGTGGAGTTACGGCTGCGCAATTTCTACTATGATGTTGCACAATAAGCGTATTGGGGGCTTACATGAATGGTTGTGAAAGAAGACACAGTGAGAGACAGATTGGAAGAATTTCTTTCTAAAACAACTTGCGGCATTACCAGTGTGGTCTCCAGCAAAACCATTGTTTGAAGAGCATTACTGCGGAATTACCTTGCTCCTTTCAAAGGCATTCCCATACTTGCAAAGTGGGCTTCTAGATACTGTTTGTACTTCAGTTATGCTTTAAACTATCGACTGGAAACCAGTATAGATGTTTATGTGAGACTGAAACTTCCTACAAGTTGTCCCAAGGCACCTTTCCTTTTTTGCAGTCAGGTATCTGTAATGCTATCAGGAATCAGAACAGTGAAGTTAGACGGGCCCTATAAGACCATGCAGGAATACAAATCAAAGGATATCTGCCAGGTAGTTGTCTTAAATTTCTCTTGAATGCATCCAGTGTTGGAGCACTCACCACCTCTCAAGGTAATTGGTTCCAATGTCCTCAGTAATTTATTAGTTGCTGCTTTTAAAAAACATTGATAATGACACTTGCAAAATCTTTGCTAAAGTTCCTCAAAGCAAGGAAGAGTTGATTTTGATTCAGAAATGAGTCTTCTAAACCAGCTGCCCTCAACCTTTTTAGCCCCGCGGACCAGCTTCCATTAGAAGGCAAATGAGTTGGTGGGCATAACATTTCAGAAGCCCCTTGCTATGCAAAGCTATCCATTCACACACACCTTCAAACAACTCTTGTATCTCCTCAGAGTTTGTTGGCTCTAGTATGGAGAGGCGATATGGAACTTAACTGGTGAATATAGTAAAAGTTTCCAGATGTTTCATGCACCGTGCAAATATCTTTTGTAATGGTCCACGTGCTATATCTGTCACATTAAAACTGGCCCAGGTAGTCTGCATTTATCCAAACAATGCAGAAGAGTTGGCAGAGTAAGCATCTCAGAATTTCCATTCCTTACTGTGTCTTAGAGCTTTTAGATTTAGGGTGCTTACATATGAGGCTTCTGTTGTACAGCTCCCCTGCCTCATTCATGTAATTTTATTTGGGTCCAAATGATGTTGTCTGCCACTTGTAATCCTCCCACATTTGCCTATTCCCACTGTTTGCTTCTTGCCATCAGTAGTACTTGGAGCTGTCCCTCTGGAAGCACCCTGAGCAGCTAGGGATTCAGGCAGCAGGCTCCTGGAGTGCCTGGATTTAAGCATCGTCCCTAAGCAAAGAAAAACCCATTCTGCACCTTACCACTGAGTCTTCCGGATTGGCTTGTACTTGCTACTCTTTTAAAGCTCTCGGAGTGTTGTTATCTTATTTATTTTGCTCTTGTCCAGCAATAATTGTAGCTCTGTGTCCTGTCATGAAGATTTAGGAACAGAAAAAGTCTAAATTACTATGAAAATACGTACTTTTTAAACTTATCAAGTGTAAGCCTTTCTGACTTGAAATGAACATGTTTTATTTTGCAATCTTTAAACCATGTATATTTCATAATAATGGAACTGAATTGTTTTGCTATTTTTGCATACTTCTCAGGAATCGTAAGGCCACAGGTGACGTCACAAATATTTGCAGTTTGTAGAGGATTCAAAACCAGTATCTATATAATAAATATCATCATAATGTGTGGCATAGTTTTGAACGCGGTCTCAAAAGACAATTCATTGGCCGGAAATAATTCACATTTCTATATAAAACTAGGCTCAGCTTGATTTGGTCTGCTGTCCCAGTGAGGCCCTGCAGAGGGGTGTGGGTGTAAGAGAGATTCATCACCCTTCATGCTCTGCTTCCCAAAGTGGTTACTTTACTCTGGTTCACGGAAAGGCTTGCCCTGCTTGAGACAGCATAACAAAGGGATGGAGGCTCCTCTCAGTCTCTCAAACTACATCTACAGGAACTCTTCAGATTAGAGCAAAACATCAGAGTGATACAAATTCTGTTATACTGTAATGTGGTTTAAATCTGGTTGATTCTAGCATATTTCAAAATTCTCAATATCTCATACAGATAAATGATCAAAATGTATGTAAATATCCTTAAACATGAGCTCTACATTTTCCCCTTCACAGGCTAACAACTTTGTTACACCTTCGCGGCTGGCTAAAATGTGGATTCACACCCATGTCTTCTTCACATTAACAAGCATACCTCTTCTATTCAGTTTGCCTGCATTGGGATGCTTCCATATTAGACATAACATTACATGTGTCAAGTAAAGTGTAAAAAATATAGTTGACCAATAGATGGCAGCCTTTGAATATATATTGCAACTCTCCTACTCTACTTTTTCCTTGCTTTTTTCTTTTATTCCTTGCTGGGCTGCAGACTTTCACAACAAACACAAATGCTTTGTAAATATAAAGAAGGCTCAGATAAATTACTACCTCTCTATCTCTAAGATACAACAAAAACTGTTTCCCAGAGTTTTTGAAGCATATCTATAACAAGATCTTAATGGGAGTATGGAGAACAATGTTACTGTTGAAAAATAACCAGCTCAGTCTGCCAGCAACTCAAAAACAGAAGCAGTGTTGTGATTAAAGAGTTGATTTACATGGAAGCAATACTGAGAGCCCATGCCGCATATTCTCGTATTAAAAGCCTATCATAGTGCAGATTTGCTCTGCCATGTGACCACTGGTGCCTTGGTAATTTGATGCCTGCTAGAGAAGGCTAGAACTCTGATAGCCATCTAAACCTGGGACGTTTGCTAGCCAACAGGCTTCTCAAGGCAAGCATTCTGTTTAAACTCATGAACTGTTTCATCTGGTAGTTAGGATTTACTGCTGTGCTTCCTAACCTTTTTCAAATTGCAGCCCCCTTTTATAATAGCCAAGTGACCTGCAGTCTGCACTGTATTTGTATAAAAAGGCATTTTAGTGGGATAAAGAAAACGCATTAAAATAGATTTTTCACAATATAATTCTAACATAATATATTAAATATTTATGTAATAATACATAATTATTGTGGGGGCTGTAAATCTGCCTCTACCAAATAAAATTTGAAAAGGAGAAAAAAATATCAATATACTTTGAGTTTAAGTTACTTTTTTGGAGGTAGAAACGACCCTTCACGTGTCTTCCCCCCCAAAAAAGCTCCCTAAGTGAAGAGTCCCTCCCTCTAGAGCCCAAATAAACACAAACACCCATGGGCCTAATCCCCTCCCCAGTTCTACTGCCTCACCTTTTTTGCCCCTCTTGCCTTTCTCCTCCATGACTTAGATGGGGCCTGGAGGCATCTCCCCATCCAGGTCCACTCTCCCTTCACTGTACTGCTATCACCCACCCAGAGGAGCAGGAGACTCAGGCAGAGGAAAAGGCAAGACTGCCGCCACTACAGCAACATTTGTTCAATCCTGCCACCATATTGGGTGTTGGTGTTCCTCGCTTGTACCGTGCATTTGCCTCATTGAGGTGTCTTTGAACTGGGTAATGCTCAGGTCCAAAGGGCTGATGTCAGTCCTCCAAAGGTGGATGCAGAGGAGCAAGTGAGAACTGCTCTTTCTGAGACGCTTAGGATTGCTGTGCATTGCATAAACAGAAAATCTACCCAAAGGGGCTCAGAAATAAATGAGCAATTTAGGTTACCTAAAGTTCAGATTAAAAATATCTGTTGACCAAGAGGATTGCAATAAAACAGCATTGCGTATACCATGTTTAATATAAATATAAATATAATTGGGTCCCTACCACTTGATTGATTTGCTGTAATAAAAAATAAATAATAAGCGGGGAAAACTGAAGTACAAATGTTATAAATGTGTTAGAATGATGCATTGTGCTATAAAGCTTTACTAATGAAAAATACAGTAACACTGGAAGGAGCTAGCACAACTAGGAATATTGCTGCCAAGGAATTACAGTGAAGCATTAAACTGAAACAACTACTTAATAGAGATTCTGCCTTATCAGTACTTGATCTTCTTGTACCCAGTATTTTGATTAAGGACTTACATGGATGATAACACAGATCATGTAATAGTGTAAAAATGCTTTTGAAAATAGGCTACAAATTCTAAGTTTTATATAGAACACAAATTTACCAGTGTCTTCACACATTTGTGTGAAGTACCAATCAAAACGATGGATGTGGAAAGTTTCCTGATCAACCCTACATGCAAGGCAAAGAAAGAAGATTTTGCATATTTAATCTGAGTGATTCAGAACATCAGCAGTGGTCTAGCACTCACAAGAGTAATAATTTCACTTTTCTCACCCCTATGTAGAGGAGCAGGGGAAGTATTTAATTGACAGTGGAAGGAGTTTGAGGTTTGCTTGAGGTCAATATGCCTTTTGGATAAGAGGATTGTGCCAAATGGCATATTCCTCCCCCAACCAACCTCAACCAACTCTATTTAGACTGTACCAGCACATTGCAAATGGGCTGATGTAGATGTGCTCTGTCTCTTGTCTGCAGTCTTATTTTGAAACTAAATCAGCAAGACTACTAGACCCATCAACTAATTTTAATGGATGAATTTCAACTATTGAGACCTCATGATGCAGACAGGGTGCTTGGATCTGGTGGGTTTATTACCACTCCACTCAACCCTTGCCCATCTTGGCTAATTGGGAAATCTGCCAGGGGGATTTATTACCACTCCGCTCGACCCTTGCCCATCTTAGCTAACTGGGATATCTGCCAGGGAGATTTGTACATGGGGTCCAGGAAGCCATCAACACCTGCTTGAGAGAGGGAGTGGTCCCTACTGCCTTCTGGGATATCTGCCAGGGAGATTTGTACATGGGGTCCAGGAAGCGATCAACACCTCCTTGAGAGAGGGAGTGGTCCCTACTGCCTTAAAAGAAGTGGTGATTCCTTAAAAAGCCTAATCTGGACCTAGGGCCAGTGGCTAACTATCGGCCGGTCGCAAATCTACCTTATTTGGGGAAGGTGTTGGAGTGGGTGGTGGCTGGACAACTCCAGGCACTGCTGGATGAAACTGAGTTCTAGATCCATTTCAATTGAGTTTTAGGCTGGGTTTCAGCACAGAGACTGCCTTGGTTGCCCTGTACGATGTACCTTTGCCGGGAGAGAGAAAGGGGGTAGTGTGACCTTGTTGATACCCCTGGACCTCTCAGCGGTGTTCAATACCATTGACCATGGTGTCCTTCTGGATAGATTAGCTGGATTGGGAGTTGAGAGCACTGTTCCACTCCTTTCTGGCTGACCATGTCCAGAAGGGGTTCTGGGGGACAATGGCTCAGCCCCAAGGCGTTTATGCCATGGGGTTCCTCAGGGCTCGATACTGTCCCCCATGCTGTTCAACATCTACATGAAACCATTGGGAGAGGTCATCAAGAGGTTTGGGCTGAGGAGTCAGCAATATGGTGATGATACTCAGCTCTACTTCTTTTTTTCCACCAATCCAGGTGAGGCAGTCTCTAAACTGGACCTGATAATGGACTTGATGAGGGTTAATAAATTAAAGCTTAATCCAGACAAAACGGAA